TTAACAGTCCTTTATCACCTTAGACGAAATAGGGTGAATACATCTCATTACACTACCTTAATGATTTATTGTCACCCAACATCCCATTTAGAAGAAAAAGTTGGTTGATAGGAATTTTTGAAATGGCCTCACTTAAAACCGAAAGAGGATCGCGGCGGCCCACCTTCCTGCGACGCCGATGAATATGTGCTAAGCTTGCGTCTGTATTGCCGTGACAGACATAATTAAAGCTAGAATCGATAACGTCAAAAGTTTTATAAACCAAGAGAAAAGGTTTAATATGTTTTGTGCCTTATTTATTAATGTATTTATTCTTGATTAATGATGTCCTTCGTGGCGATACAGACGAAAGCTTAGCACAGGTTCACCGGTGCCGCATAATGGTCAACTAAAGACTTCCTTGTAGAATCCAACAGTCTTCACTCAGCGACAAACCCCCCTTGGTTTGTGGTGAGATGATATCCTTCCGACCAAGTTTTACTTCGAAATGAAACGTCATGCCACAATAAAGAAACGTTTTATCGCATAAATATGATCAAATGACAGTCTCAAAATCCTACTTGCAAACAAGAAATAAGTAATGTAGTCTAATGTAATAGGAAATAAAACTTTGTCTAATCGAAAATCCTACCACAGAAAGTGATATGGAAAAGACTTAGACTGCCTTGAAATTCACGCCCGCCCTGTGCTCCAAGGGCAATCGTGATAGTGTGGTGTAGTGGTCAGCGTGTTGAGACTATATGCTGCATCATAACAATCCGGGTTCGACTCTCGCTGGGAGTATTGATAAGATTAGGCATGATCGAAATTGCAGTCCATACTGGATGAGAACAACTATTGGCAAATCAAAGCTATGTGCAATTCATTGTGGGAAAATTCTACTACCAGTCCTTCATCACCTTAAACGAAATAGCGGGAATAAATCTCAGGTGCCGTTAAGATGAGTTCAACTTTGTGGATATAATAATGTTGATGTTGACTTACTGGTAATCTCGAAACTCTGCTTATATACAAAAATTAATTGATAGTTGTTTGGAGCAATACTATTGCTTTTTCATACTCGCGGACATACTTATGGTCTTATGGTCTATTGGCTTAGTGCACTGACCATTTTCTCAATAATTACAGTCACTGGCTCTTAAAGCATCTATTAGGGCTGGTCAAATAGAAGGTCAAAACGGATACATCTGAGCCAAGGGCTTCTACTCGATGCTCAACAGTACGCATTCTCAAATAATCTTCCTTCGGTTTTTGGTGAGGCCTACTTACGAATCCCTTCAAATCCACTTCTCCTTCGAAAGAAAATGCCGAGTCAAATAAAATTATTAAGAGGTTTCCCGAAACGAAGCTTTCCTTTATACATACTAAGTCACGAAAAATTTATATATCAAGAGGAGACTGCTACCAAACGAACAGCCTCTATATAATGGTCTTAAAATCTACCATTCATCTTCTAAATTTTGGATATAAAGTAGTAATGCTTACGCTGATTTCAAGTATTCTACTTTTCATACATTGGCTTCCTTTTCACCGTTGGTGATGATAATTAATGCCGAGATTGCGCTATCTTATGCAGCATTAATACCACCAGCAACTTGCACATATGATTTTGATGAGAATAAGATCTATAGTTCTCATGGCATACACGATATTCTCACCCAATTTCCCCTTGAATAAGATCCTTACAAAAGGGATTGCGTTACAAAATATGTATAATATTCTAAACTTTTCGAGCTTCTTAAACTAGTCAGCATTTTTAATTAAAAATGCGTATATTTTATCTAAAGTCATACTGTAAAGCTGAGACAATTGTTCCTT